CTCCAAATATTGTCCTATCCTAACAAACCATACATCAATGGAAAGCTTATTTATTCAGATGATGTATAAATCATGACTTATGACTGGTTTTGTGGTCCAGGGTCACATATATGAATAAAAGGTGTATGAGCAGTGGTGACGGTGTTGTGTTGTGTGCCGCAGGGAGAGTTTTGCGCGTGTGAGAGCGGTGGTCATGACTCGTGATGACTCCAGCGGCGGATGGCTTCCTCTGGGCTCCGGCGGACTCAGCTGCGTCACCGTACACAAGGTCATCCGGACCGAGAACGACGGCTCCAGCGCAGCTCAGTTCCTCATCCATGGAGAGCGGCTCAGAGACAAAACGGTAACGTGACTTCATCCTCATGACCTCACGTTCAGCAGTGTTTGCTGAGGAAATCCCAAGACCGTTCAGGCAGGTTATTCAGAATGAAGCAGAGCCACACACTCACATTTCACAACTCAAACATCAGCTGAGAGATGCTTGTATTTTCTTGTTAGATTTCACTCAGAAATATAGCATAGTTTCCTTTTACTGTCGACTTCAACTTCACATTGTTATTTTAGAGTCATTCTTATTAACATTTAATTAGTTTGGCTAACAAATTATTTTGAGAGTCCACTTTAGACATTCTACTAACTAGTACCTTCCTAACTGCATGTCAACTAACTCTAATTAGAGTACTAGTAGACTCTTAGGTTAGGGTTAGTGGAATAAGTTGACATATACTTACAAAGCGACTTACAGTCAGTAGATTGTCCATCAAGTGTGAGCAGATATTAAGCAGACAGTCACTAGTACAGCTGACATGTAGATGCACAGTTACTGATAGCAGATTGTTTAAAGTGGACTATTAACTTAACAGTCTTAAAGACTTATCAGTCTTGGCCCATATAAGGGATTTCCTGGAGCGTCATTAATTCTGTTACTTCTGTGATGCAAATGTGGATTTTCTGCGTGAGCGCCCTCTGGCTTCCAGTATGAGTGAAACAGACACTACATGTGTTTAAAACACTAAATAATGGCCAATCCATAAAAATAAGACTTCTCTCAAAAGAAATGTGAAGTATACATATGATAGTCCATGTTTTTCTAGAGTGTACAGAAGTGTACTGGAGTTTTAAAGTGCTATAGCCACTAATTAAAAGAATATGTGGACATCAAAACGTGTAAACAAGTGAGGGTTTGAGCTTTTATTTTGAACCCGCGATGTATTCGCCTGTGTTTGCGTAGGTTTATAAATGATTTACCTTACAAATCTGATGAAATGGCGCACGTTGCGTTCCCAGATGAAGGTTATAATAAACCAACAACATGCAGAGATGGAGTTTGAGACGCTCCACACGTGTAAATGTTAACAGTTCCTGTGGAACTACTGTGAACCGAGCCGCTGTGTGTGTTTTATGGATTCTCGTCCGTGAAATGCGCCACTTCCGGTATTTTGCCGGTTAGTCGACGCGAGCAAAATTAAGTCGAGGATTTTTAAAAATCGAATAGTCTAATAAAATCGACGAATCGCGACAGCCCGTAAAAAATACTCTAATGTGCCAAGCCATCAGAACCAAACTGAAAACTGTGGTTAAAAAACCGAGTACTATCCTTTGAAAAATATTTAACATTAAGTCTTGCATTTTGCACATTGTGCAATTACGATTTTGACATTAGCCTTCCAGGAGCTTCGGGTAATAATGTAGCTATCTAGGAATATATGAATAAACCCATCCCATCCCAATAACGGTACTCAAAACATTTTTCCAAGGATGGCAGGTCTGTATTTGTAATTGTTGTAAATTGTTATTTTAGTATTTAAAACAAAATGAAAATGTTGCCTTGGCAACTACCAGGAATGCAGTTATGGAGTAAAATTGTATTTAAAGTGAGGAGATTTTGCTGTGAAATGTGTTGGTTTGCTGAGCGTCAGACGTGTGAGTAACGAGACCTCGCTCTGGGCTCCAGGTGCTGCTGGACTGCGTCATCAGGAGGGATCTGGTGTACAATAAGGTCAATCCCATCTTCCACCACTGGAGGATCGGCAGCATGAAGTTGGGCCTGACCTTCCAGAGCCCAGCGGACGCGAGGGCCTTCGACCGCGGGATCCGGCGAGCTCTGGAGGACATCACACAAGGTGAGCGTCCCAGCAGCGGCGGTGTGACGTCAGTTCTGTGCGTTTGAGACGCACTATCACATCTCACCCACGAGCTTTAAAACATTCATGGAGATGTTTTAAAAATGTAAAACGTGTGCAATATAAGATCTCGTTTAATGTTACTCAAGTGTGGCTTTCAGTTACTTCATCCGCCACTAAGTAAAAGTACAGACAGATATCTTACCAGAAAATGACTAGAAGTTGAAGTCACCGTTTAGAATATTTCTTGAGTAAAAGTGTTAAAGTATGTGATGCTTATTGTACTTAAGTATGTACAGTATTTTATTGATATTAAACGTACTTAAGTATTGAAAGTAAAAGTACAAGTAAATGCAAAATGGAAAAGTAAATATGTTTATGTAGTTTGAGCAGCATGATTGCGTTCAAAGTTTTAACTCTTTCTTCCATTTTGTATCTTTGGGTTAGCATAAGAGGCACTTCATCCGGTACTTAGTCTCTTTCATTCAAACATAAGAAAACATTTCTAGATCTGAATCTGAAGTGGCATTTAGATTAGGGCTGAACGATTTTGGAAAATAATCTAATTGCGATTTTCTGCATTTAGCTTTTGAATGACCAGCACCTGCCTGGGTCTATGCGACTTCATCTATGGCTTTTCTCTTCGCTTTCACAAACCAATCCATCTCCCATTCTAAGTTACGTCCTTTGGCTGTTTACTGTTTTATTTATTTTATTTTTCTGCTGATGGCCCACGCTCGACTTGAAGCAGCGCTGCTTAGACCGATGGGTGTGTCATCAAAGCACTGTGAGAGCTATAAGAGAGCGGACGTCTCCTTATGCTTTCTCTCGCTCGCCGTACTTTGATGTCATACACCGATCGATCTTCAAGTGGAACACACCTCTTCACTCTTGCGTGTCACGTGACCGAGTGTAATCGCAGCCTCTGCGATTGAAAAATCGCGTTTTCTCATATCGCGATATTATCGCAAATGCAATTAACCGTTCAGCCCTAATTTAGATGTATTTACACAGTTTAATGTAGCTGTGGAGACATAGATGCATTTAACCTGCAGTTACAAATGCATTGTTTTAAACATAAAACGTTGAATACTGATATTTGGAATGATTTAAAACATGAAACAATAGTTGAAATGTGAAATTAACACCACCAGGTGGCAGTCAACTGATTCATTCAATCGTCTGATTCATTCAGGAACAAAGCAGTTGACTGTGTTAATGAATCAAATCACTGAATCAAACGGCACTCTTCTTGTGATGTAGAAAAAAACGAGAAAAGAAAAGCATCACTGTGATATAGAGTAACCATATTAAATGAATAAATATAAAAGACATACAGAGGCATTTTTGCAGTCTACAATTTAGAATGCCTTGAATTTTGATGATTCTAAATGCGTTTTAATAGACTAAATCACACAATCTATGTGTTTTTGTGATATACTTGATAATGTCAGGTCTAGGGCTGGGTATCGAGTTCGATACTTTTTAGGCACCGTCCGAATTGCCTCGATACCATCGAGTATTGAAAAACGTCTCGTCGTTCGGTACCAGATTTCGATACCTAAGGGGTTAATCTCATCAGCGTCAGTGAGCCAATAAACATGCAGCACTAGCCGGTGTGTTCGACTAGAAGAGGTGCGGCGCAGTCTGCTGTCTTTAGCTCTCGTGGTACTGTAATACACCGATCGGTCTGCACAGTCGGTCCGCGTCAAGTCAACACAGCTACTAGTTTACACCGGTTACACTCAGAGATGTGGCGCACACGTGAGGCTGTAGTGTGAATGCGTCCCAGCCCGCTTAGATGTAAGGCTACATTTACACTGGTGCGTTTATGTTTTAAAATGAAAACGATCCTCGTCATACTGGCGTTTCCACTGCGTTTCAAGCCGGCTTTCCACTATCTGCGACAAACGACAGATCGGTCATTCAGTCATTCATTTCCAATGGAGAGTAGCGCGGGAGCTGCGTGGAGCTCTTTTTTTTTTTTTTTAGATAATGTAATCTTGTTAAAATTGATTTCATAAAATTGGTATCGAAAAAAGTATCGTTTAGGAACCGGTATCGAAGTCAAGGTATCGGTATCGATATCGAAAATTTTTTACGATACCCAGCCCTAGTCAGATCGCACATCGTTAAAACAACACTTACCATATTATCGCAGAAGATACACTGTATATCGCACACCCTAGACTCGACTCGAGTAGGAAATGAATCATCCGCGGTTGTGCGCGCACTTGTTTGCACGAGCAAAGGTGTTTTTAGGAGTCTAACTTGCAAACGCCAGACCACTGATTCGTCAAACCTGCTTTCCTGCAGTCTGTCTTTGCACGAAGATGGCCTTTTATAATGTCATTAGTACCAACTAAATTCTGTACCTGCTCGAACTCATCCGCTATCAAACGGTCCTGCTTGTTTTGTATTTGTGTGTGTGCGCGCTCTGGCTTCGCAAGTTTATGTAGTTCTACACATTCGCAGATCTTCACATTATAGCAAAATGAAAAGAAATGTACTGTGTCGCAATATTGGAAATATTTCTGTCTTAAACCATGAAGGCGAGCCAATGGATGTCACACAAGCAACGTGCAAACTTTGCGCAAGAGTTACGCTGGTGAACATCTTAACCTCAGTCAGTTCACTATACAGACAGTGAAAGTAAAAAAATCTGACGGAGCTTAACGCTGCATTAACAGTGCATATTCTCTCAGAGACGATGAGAGGCGAATCTACTTACGGTATAACGGTATATAACTGTCTTAAATTATTCCCTAAATACTTCTCTTGTGGCCCGTACAGTGAAAAACATGAGAAGACATTTTCAAAGGTGTTTGAAAATCAGTGCATGAAATAAAGCTGCTTTTAATATTCATTGATGACAGCAGTGTTAATCGTTTTAATTATAGGCCTATAATTCATTGTATAAATGAATAGACCTGTTTTTTTTTTTTTATTATTCAGTGAGGAGTAAGCTAAAAGCCTAATCTTTTATTATACTCACAGCGCGTCATGCAGTAATGCACTATGAAATTATTGCGGGGCAAGTTAACTGTAATTTAATAATAAAAGTAACCTAATAATAAGAAGAAGAAGAATGTAACAGGCCTACATTAATTGGAAATGCTAAATCCTCTTAATATTACCAATATTTGATGCTTATGACAATATCTCTGGCAATAGTTGACACATGATACGCCACAGCTGAGCACGGGGGAACTGTCTGTCAAGCCGATGTCAAAACAGAGCTGTGCATGAAGTAAACTCAGAGTAACACAACTACAGCAGCAGCAACACGTCTGTGCTGACTGAAGATATTTAGCAGCTTCTGCAGTTTAAGATAAATCTGTTTAAGATTCAGTGTTTGAAAAATGTAATTTTTGAATTAAATCTTAAAAATGTCTAAATATTGAATACATTATTTAATTATAATACCATTAAAAGTAACTTAATTTAAGTATTTAAGTAATTAACCCATAGGCTGTTGGTGTCTGGGTTTATTTGTTTACTTATTTTTTTAATGTCATGAGAGTTTAAACTTTGTGACTTCCTGCTCTGGCTATACTTCATAGTCTTTTTGTAATAAACCCAAAAGCAAGTTGCATAAAAAAACAAAACAGAAAAAACAACAACTAGGGAGTGGAAATGGCAAAGGAGCTAATGAGTGATCCTCTGCTGCCATCTACTGGATATTAAAGGCAATTTCATGCCATTTTCTTTGTTTTCCACCAGGAGACAATTTATTTCATCGTCATCATGAATGAAATGTGAATCTTTAAAGCAGAGGTGGAAAGTAACAAATGACATTTACTTGCGTTACTGTAAGTGAGTAGCTTTTTTGTGTACTTCTACTTTTTTAGTCATTTTTAAAATCTGTAATTTTACTTTTACTTAAGTATATTTTGTTTGAAGTATTGCAATTTGCTACATTTTAAAACACATTAATTACTGAGTAAAAAAAAAATCGCTCCCTGGAAACTACTGCAGTAAATAATGGGCAGGAGAGCAAACTGGTGCTAAAATCACAAGACAGGTGTTAGTGGTGCAGACCCAGCTGAAAACAAAACCCCGTCATATTCTGCTGAAGTTGAACTGGAAGGAAATGAAGTGAACCCCTGGCCATATTTAAGCTCTGTTATGCAGTGTAAGCTGTGTTTGCCTAGGGAGACCAAACTAGCAGCTTATAAAATCTCGACATCAAACCTTCGCAAGCATGTAGAGGTAAGCTAATTACTTGCATCGTTGCATTGGTGGTTAAAATGAAGCTTTGACAGTTCAGCAAAAGGTTTTGCACAAATTAGCCAAAAAGACAGTGGTGCAGGGTGTGCGATGTATATCGTCTGCGAGAATATCGTAATTGTTGTTTTAACGATGTGCGATTTGACATTATCAGTATTTTGCCCAAAACAAAACAAAACACTCCTACAGAGCGCCGATGACTCACTTATTAACAGTGACTTGCTGCCACCTGCTGGCGGTTTTAATTTCACATTCAAAGTATATTTAGATTTTTATTTTTTTTTTATAATTTCAAATGAGTATTCAACATTTTATGTCTTATTTATCAAAACAGTATTTCTGCATTTGTAGCTGCAGGTTAAATGCATTCATGTCCTGCATTAAACAGTGAGTAAACACATCTAAATGCCACTTCCGATGAAGCTTTTGTGTTTCCTCTGCATTGAAAAGATGAATTTTGTTGATACTGATTTAATTTGCCTGGTAACAGCCCAAATGTCTTATTATTCTAAATAACTGATTCCTTTAATTAAAAACAGCTAGTTTTTAATTTCACATTTAAAGTATCTTTTGATTTTTTTTCTTAATAATTTGAAATGAGTATTCAACATTTTATGTCATATATATCAAAACATTATTTCTGCATTTGTAACTGCTGCTTAAATGCATTCATGTCCTGCATTAAACAGTGTATAAATACATCTAAATGCCACTTCCGATGAAGCTTTTGTGTTTCCTCTGCATTGAAAAGATGAATTTTGTTGATACTGATTTCATTTGCCTGGTAAGAGCCCAAATGTCTTATTATTCTAAATAACTGATTATTTTATTAAAAAACAGCTAGTTTGAGATTTATAGGCCTATCCCAGGGGTGTCAAACTGCTCTGCAGAGTTTAGGTCCAACCCTGCTCCAACACACATACCATGTACTTCTCAAATAAGCCTAAATGATTAGATTAGCTGGATCAGATGTGTTTAATTAGTGTTATATCTAAACTGTGCAGGGCTGTGGAGTTTGACACCCTTGGCCTATCCCATTTTTGCCTCCCTACCACTGTTAAAATGTAACTAAGTAATTTTTACTCTGAGTAAATTTTAAAT